CCCCACCGTCTCCCCTCCCCCCCCCCCCGAGCCTCACCCATCGCAGCGGCGGTGGCGGCGGCGGCCGCGGCGCGCACCTCCAGCAGGGCGCTGTACCAGGCCTGCTGCTCCGCCTCGCTGGCCGCCGCCACGCCCAGGCTGCTGTCGCTGGTGTACAGCACGATCAGGTGGCGCTGGCGGGCGTCGGCGCGCTTGCTGATGGTGCAGGCCCCCTCCAGGCTGACGGTGCGGCGGGGCCGCGGGGGGCGGCAGCCGCCGGCCAGGAACTTCTTCTCGCTCTCGTAGCACTCCAGGCGCGGCGGGTCGGCGCGCAGCACGAAGAAGCGGCGGCGCTGCGACTTCTGCTTCCGCAGGTGGCCGCAGAGCCGCACGTCAGGCGGGCAGGGCCCGGGCAGCGGCGGGGCCGCGGGGCCCGAACCGGCGGCCGCCATGCCCGGCGGCAGGCAGGGGGCGTCCGCGGAGGGGCTGGACGGCTCGGGCGCGTCGGGACGGGTGCGCCTGGGGACCAGCCTAGCCGCCCCGCGCCCTCCCCAGACGCCAGGGTGCTGCGTCCCGGCGGCCACCCGGACCCCTAGGTGTGAGGGAGGCCCCCCGGCTGGCGTCCCCACCCCTTCCAGGTTAACCCTCCCGTCCGCGGTCCGGAGGCCGGAGCTGGGTCCCGCGCCAACCGGACCGAACTTCCCGGGGGGCGGGGAGCGAGGGGGCGTCTCCGCCAATCAGCTGGCAGGACCTGGGGGTGGAGGAGTGTCGCCGGGGCAGCCCGGGGCACTGGACAGCCGGAAAGCTGGCCGGCGCTCGGCGGCGACGCGCCTAACGGGCCTGCGAGAGGCCCCCGGCCTCTCCTTCCCGCCCAGAGGTGATGCTCCTGCCTCAGTTTCTGAGTTAGCCAGGGCACTCGGCTATGGAGCGCTGGACCGAGCTGACCGGTCCTCAGCGAGCCGGGGCCGGTGGGTGTCCCAGGACAGGGAAGCGGGTAGACTGCTCCCTGGTCACCAACCATACCCACCAGATGGCCCTGAGGGGCACACGGAAGAGGTGGTCACCTTCGTAAGAGAGCCACACGCGCGGTGGCTGGGGCCACGGGGTCCTGCGGCAGATGTCCCGCTGACCCTTCCCTTCCTGAGGGGTTAGGAGGGTGGGGCTGTGAGTCACACGCCGGGAGTGTGCTCGTTGGCCGGTCAACCTCTGGATTCATTCCTCAGGAGCCTTCCCCTTGTTTTGGAGACAGGCTCACTGGCTTGGAACCTGTCCAGTAGGTTGGGTTCGCTGGCCAGCAAGCCCCGGGCGTCTGACTCTACTTCCCCTGCGCTGGGACTACTGTTCGCCCTCCAACGCCCGGCTTTGAAAATCTTTATCATGTGCTCTGTGCAGGCTGCCTGCGTGTGGGGGTCAGAGGACAACCGGAAGCTGGTTCTTGCCTTCCACCTTTGCTGTTGTTGTTTTGTTTTTGAAGGCAGGGGTTTCTCTGTGTAGACCTGGCTGTCCTACAACTCAGATCCGCCTGCCTGTGCCTTCTGAGCGCTGGGATTGAAAGTGTGGGCCTGGCTGGCCGGCGTTCAGGATGCACGCCTCGGGGCCCCCTTTTAATGTCGGCTCCGAGGATCAATCTCAGCCATCTGGTCTCCCCAGCCCCGCGGATGCTCAAGGGGTCGGGAGTGGCCTGGTGCATTCTGTCAGACAAAGCTCGGTTGGCGGACCCAGTGATCCCCCTGTGCTGTGGGGAATCCACAAGGGTAAAGCTGACAGCACAGAGAAGGCCAAGCCACGGGACGATGGTGGGGAGCGCCCCTCTGGTAAGGGACCATCTAACAGGAAAGGAGAAGCAGGCTCAGCCTGCACAGAGGCCGACGGCCCATTTGCGGTCTGGAGCGATCACTCGCAGTCATGAAGCTAGTCTTTCCCCATCCCCCTCAAGTCAGGGTTTCTTCGTGGCTTTGTAGACCAGGCTGGTCTTGAACTCTGAGATCTGCCTGCTGCTGCCTCCCAATGCTGGGATTAAAGGCCTCCAGCACTACGGCCCGCCCAGCTTCAGGCTGGGCGTCTTTGAGTCCCTATTCAAATGCCGCACTGAGCAGGTACCCAATACCAACAGGCGCCACAGGCATGGAGTCTGGAGCCCGAGACAGGCCCCGGGTGCCTCCCAGCCAGCCTGCCCTGCCCAGGGCTGAGGGACTCTCCGTTTAGTTGCTAAGCTCTGGAAGAGGCCCCCCGAGGAGAATGGGATCAGCTGGAGACTGGAGTCCTCAGAAGGCTGGATGTGCGGGTGCATGGCGGTGGCCTCAGCACACCCACGTGAGGGGAGCAGTGGAGACGGCAGGACCTCCAGAAGCTCGCCGGCCTGCCGGCCTGCCGGCCTGGAGTGTGCAATGGTGAGCAAGACTCCTTCTCAAGGGAAGCTGCGCCTTAGCCCCTGGGGGCGGATCTCAAGCTCTCCAGGAAGGCCCTCTTCCTATCTCCTTCCTGTTTCCCTGAACCTGGTCATCTTGCAAACATCTGTCCTGTGAAATCACCTCCGCTGTCAGAGACCGCTCCCAGCACGGCTGTCACCTGTCAACATCGCTGTCACCTCTGCTGTCGGAGACCGCTCCCAACACCGCTGTCACTCAGCCCCGGAGAGCTGGGTAACAGACAAAGCAGGAAGCGGCCAAGGAGCTGGGGTGTGACTGGCTCTGCTGCCTACCAGGAAGAGCCTGGCTTACCTCAGTTGCCATAGCAACAGCTCTGCTCTCCCCGATACCTGAACATATTTTACAGTCTTTCCAAACCCCAGCAGTCCAGGAAGTAGCACATTCGAGGCTTCGCTGGCTTGGTTGGGGCACACTTCTCTAGAAGAATCCTGTTAGCAGGAGTAGGAATCCAGAGTGGGGCTCGTGGTGGTCCCGAGACAGGGTATTCGTGTGTATGCGTGTGCATGCGTGTGTGTGCGCATGCGTGTGTTGGGGGAAAGCAGGAGACAACCAAGCTCTGTGATACGCTCCCCTGGCCGCCCCACCCTGTGGCTCCCAGGTAGAGAAGATTCCAGAAGCTCAGCTCTGGCTTTGTCACCCCCAGAAGCTGCCCGAGACAGCCAGGCGGAGGCTGAGCGCTGTCACCTGCAGAGCATGGCCAGGGCGCTGGCTAGGGCCTGTGCAGACAGAAGGACCTGGCCAGAAGTGTGTGAGCCAAGCGTGTTGTTCCAGCCTGTGTGTGAGCGTACGCACACGCCTGTCTAGTCTGCGGTCAGCTGAGACTCAGGGAGAAAAACAAGCCAGGAAACAAGTCCACCCGTTCAAGTTTCTGCAGACTAGGGGATGTTTCTGCCATTTTTGCCACTGGTCTGGAGAGGGGCCTCAGGAGCCCTCCTTGCCGGGACAGTGTCTTCAGCCCCAGGCTCAGCCGGGTAATGTCTGAGAACCCTGGACAGATTCTCGGCCTGGCCAGAAGACTGGCCAGGGTCTCCGTCAGCGGGCGGCAGGCAGCAACAGCAAGTCCCTGGGGCACGGCAGTGGGACCGGCACACGGCCAAGGACCTCACCTTAGGGCCCCTTAAAGCGAAGGCGATTCGGAGCCAGTGTTCTGTGGGGCTGCAGCTGCCGTGCTCCCAGCTTCAGGCAGAATGGGGTGAGGGGGAAGGGCCAGAGCCCAGACTCCTCTGCCTGGAATGTTGGCCCGGGTGCGTGAAGCCAGGGCTCAATCCCCACAACTGTGTGGTGGCACACCAGGAACCCAGCCAGACCTGGTCATACCGAGTCTGAGGCCAGCCTGGGCTACACAGTGACATGGATCCTGTCTCAAAAACAGCAGCGGCAGAAAGAAAAGGGAGGGGCGGCCTGGCTTGGGGCACATACCTAGAATGTTAGCCTTTGGGAGGCTGAGGCAGCAGGCCTAAGAGTCTAGGGATAGCCTGAGCTATATAGGGAGGCTTGGTGTTGGTGGGAACGAAGTGACACCCACACAGAGACGGGCCAGCTGGGTGGCCTCCTTTCTTCCTCCTCCCAGGAGAGGGAAGGAGGGGTGGGGTTGGGCGAGGCTAGCACAGGAGGGACTGAATCCTTTGCAAGGGAAAGCCAAGCCTGGCTTAGCAAGTAACAAGAGCTAGAGCTCTTTCCAGAGCAATCTATAAAGCCAAGAGACTGATAACCTAATTCCCACATCCCTCTGCTGGTCCCTGTGGACAGCCCAGAGAAATCGCAAGAATGAGGAGTTTAAAGGGTCAGGAGCTCTCTGCTATTTGGAGGGCGGGGCCTCCAGGCCGCGCGGGGTGAGCAGGAGGCCAAGGCCTAGGCCTTTTCCCGCTGGAGGGGAGCATTCGCACAAACAGCCCACACACCTGGCGGCTGACACACCAACCTCGGGAAGGACACCCGGGGGTGTTTACTTAGCAAGTCCACACCCCACCTCCCCAACACCTGCCTCCCAGCCTGCCCCAGGACCACAGTTCCAGCTCAGGACCCTCAGCCACTGAGGGCACACAGTCCAGCTCCGGCTGCAGTCACTTGCCCGGCAGGAGGAGTCATGGCTGTCCTGTTGACTTGTCCAGCTGGCACAAAGACACACAGACCCTTTTTTCTTTCAAATGCAGTCTTTTCCAGCATTACCTTCAAACAAGCTTTGGTGCAGGTATTTGGGGCAGAAGGAGGAATGTGGAGAGAGAAAGCTCCCAGCCAAGTGCAGGCCTTTCGCTGGGAAAGCCCAGGCTCTGGGGCACAGGCCTGTGCCTGTTGTGGACGGCATCAGGACCTGTGGCCGCCCTCCCCCAACCCCTGGGGCTCCAGGCTTGACTAGCCAGGCACAGACAGGGGTTCCTGGATTCTGGGCCGGTGCCCCAACCCTGAGCCACACCCCAGACATTCAGTAGGGAGCTCTAGGTGGGCACCACTAACTATATCCTGAGCCCTCTTATTTTTTAATATTTGTCTTTTTACTTTGAGACAGGGTCCTGCTAAATCGCCCAGACTGTCCTTGAACTCTGTAGCCCAGGCTAGCCTTGAACTTGTGATCCTCCTACCTCAGTACCCCAAGTTCTAGCTAGTGAGAGGTCTGAGAGAGGAAGGGTGGCTGGGGGCATTTAGCTGTCTACACGAGTGTGCATATACGTATGTATAGATAGGCTATATTAGAAAATTCTCTATTTATAAATATAAAACACTGGTATCCAAACATGACACGGCTAACTAAAGTGCTTGACGGGAGCCGGGCACGTGTGTGCTCTGTAGGTGAAACTGCAGCATCCTGAGTACCAGGATGGGGGTGGGGGCTGAGGTGGAGAAAAGTGGGTGTTGCTGAGCCTGGAAAGCAAAAGCATTGGACACCAGAATTTCTCCGTCCTGGAGCTGTCTGGTGGCTTTCAACGCCAGGCCTCATCTTTACCCTACATTCCTGGCCTGGTTTCTGCCAGGGAGGAGGGCGGCTTTGGAAGGCTGGGTGAGGAGGAGCGGCTCCCTGGGGGTGGGGGCTGCTTGCCAGGCCAGCTGACTTCTCTCTCCACAGGCCGGGAGGGGCCATCTTCAGACTCGGCCCCCTCCGGCTTGTCCTGGGTCGCCTGCGGGAGGAAGCTTCGCCTCCAGCACAGAGCAGCCTGACTCATCTGCAACCCCCAGCTGTGTGTCAGCACCTCCCCTGTCCAAGGTCCCTAACCCTGCCTCAGACCCACAGAAATGCCCCACAGGCGAACGGTCGTCAGAGCTCTGGGGGCAGCGGCCCGTGTGGGGAGCGCCCCTTCTTCCTGAGGACACAGTGCTACAAGAACGGGTTTGTGGTTGGAGGCTTGGAGGCCAACGCTGAACATCCAGTCTGAAAGAAACGGCAGAAGGTCAGCAGATTAGGGGGGCAGTGCCAGAGCCAAGGCTTTATGGCAGCGGGCACTGAGGCGGCCTGAGAGCTGGGTGTGGTGGCACAGGCCTGAAATTCCAGCAGTCAGATGGCTGAGGCAGGAGGATCACCAGTTATAGGCCAGCCTGAGCTACATAGTTCGACTCAATCTCAAAATAGGGAAGAGGGGGTGCTGGCTCTTTGGGTAAAAGCACCCACACCAAAAGCTGGTGTGATCACACGGGGCACCCCCCGTGTTGTGGGGACAGAGGGAGGCTACCGGGGCTTGCTAACTCCAGGTTCAGCGAGGGAGCATCTTTCGAAATAATGAAGGTGGAGACTGAAGGGAAGGACATCGGATTGCCCCTCTGGCCTCGGCGGGCACAGGTACACGCACGAGGAGCTCAGCTACACACACTTCACCCTCCTAAGTGATGTGTGCCCAGTGTCAGCGCAGAGCTCACCATGAAAGGATTGGTAGAGATCCCGGCCGGCTGGCTCAGAGGCCTCTGCCCCAGCTTGGAGGTCCCCAAGTCGCCAAAGGAAGAGCCTAGGAAACAAGGACATCGGTTGGCTGTGTCTGTCACCTTCCGGCAGGGTCCGCTTGCTACACCCCAGAAAACCCCGGGGTCCTTCAGTCCTGGGAAGAGAGGTGTCTGCAGCTCGCAGGGTCCCCCTAGTGGCCAGAACGGGGAGACGGCTCTGTGTGGTCAGCACAGGCAACAGGCCGCCTGGAAGTCGTCTAAGGTTCAAGCAAGAACCGGAACCAGCTGAAAAAACACCCTTAACATATTCGGGCCTGGAGGTGGTGGCGCAGACTTTTAATTCACGCAAGGCCAACCTGGTCCACAGTGGTCCAGGACAGTGTGGGCTATGTAGAGAGACGCTGTAGGAAACACAGGGTTTCCTCGTATGGCCCTGGCTGTTCTGGAACTCCCTCTGTAGAGCAGGCTGGCCTCGAACTCAGAGCTCTGCCTGCCTTTGTCTGGAGGGCTGGGGTTAAAGGTGAGCACCACCGCTGCTGGCTCATGCAGATTAAAGAAGACGAACTTTAAATCTGTGTGTGTGTGTGTGTGTGCACGTGCGCGTGTGCCCCGCTCCCTCAGAGGCTCTGCCTTGGGTTCCTGGCACCCACACTGGCTGCTCACACACCATACTGCAGAGCCACAGCTCTATCGTCCCTGTCGGTTTCAGCACACTTTAACGGCCAAAGCCGGTGGCAGAGACCTGTGATCCCAGCCCGGCAGGCCGAGGTGGGAGGGTCATAAATTCCAGGCTAGCCTGGGCTGGGGGGCTGGCAAGGTGGGTCAGTAGCTGCCAAGCCCCACAACCGGAGCGTGATTCCCAGGCCCCACACGGCAAGTTGTCCTGACCCTCACTGCAGTGTCGTGACGTGTTCACCCCTCACACACAGAACAACTGCTAAACCAGACCAGCCCAGGCCAAGGCCGGAGGAGGCTCGGTTATGAACACAGGCCACTCTTCCGGAGGACCCAGGCTCAGATCCCAGCGCCCACACGGGGCTCCGGCCCTCCGCTGCTCCGCTCCAGGGGCTCTGACGGCCTCTCCGGGTTCCGTGGGCGCTGCCCTCGGGAGCAGACAGCACCCTGGCAAACCCGGCACATGTGAAATGAAGGTGCCCTTGGAAAGGCTACGGAGAGAGGGCAGCGTGTGGAGAAGGTGCCCTTCTCACTTCCCGTCCCGGGAATGGCGTCAGGCCACTCCTGCCTGCCAGAGCTCCCTCTCTGCCCTTTTCTCTGTGAGATGTCCAGCAAGACCTTGAACTTGTCCTCCGTAGCTGGGTCGGTGTGCACGCCTCCCGTGTAAAGGCTGCCATTTACATAAAGCGAATGAGCATCTGTGAAGTTCCGTGGGGGGGGGGGGGCACAGGTCACACTTGGCACTCCGGGGGCCCTGTGCATACGTGCAGAGGGGTACGGGGGTCATTCCCAGTCCTCTTACCGTTCTGTTCAGTCAGCCCGGCCTGCGAGGGGAACGTCGGTGCAGGGAAGGTGCTGGCGAAGGCCCCGGGAGGCGGCGCTGGCTGGAGGAGGCCAGGCCCGACACCGCCCATCCCGAAGCCAGGCCCTGTGCAGCGCAAGACAGAGGCGAGCTTCAGGCAGGTGAGCTGGCCTGTTGCCCTCGGTCCCCAATGCGAGAAACGGGTTGGTTTCCCCACAGGGGAAGGGCCTTGGCTGAAGCCGTAGAGCCGGTCAGCTTTTGAGAGCCCTGAGCCGGTGACGCCCTACACTCCAGGCTCACGGGGTGCAGTCTTGTGACGCCCACAGAACCAGCGTGTAGACAGTGGGGGGCTCTGCCCATCTCATTCTCCTCTGCCCCTGCCCCCAGTTCCCATGGTAAACTGGGTGTGGTGGCACACGCCTGCGTTCCCAGCAAGGCAGGCAGAACTTTGAACTCTCTGTGAGTTCAAAGAGCCCAGGACAGCCAAGGCTACACAGAGAAACTGTCAACACTCCCCTCCAAAAAAACAAAAAAGGGACAGGGCCTCAGCCCAAGTTGTCCTTGAACTGCTGACCTTCTCACCTCTACCTTCCTGGTGCTGGATGACACACCTGTGCCGTCACACCCAATTCCACTCTTTCATCCCTAAGTGAGCGTGGTACCCCTCACAGGGCCACTGTGAGGGCTGGCAGGCATGAGTCACCTGGCCGGCCACTCAGCTCTAGGTGGGTGGCCTTGGTTTCCTGGCCCGAGACTCCACAGAAATAAAGGGATATGGGGACATGAGTTTGGGGGCCAGTGGCAAGGGACTTCGGGGCCCTGCTAGTGACTAGCACAGGGGGTTAGGACCCGGTCACGATGCCCTGGGCAGCTTAGGCTCGGAGCTGCTCAGGGATGAGGACAGCGGCTGGAAAGAGGAGCACCAGCGCGCCGACAGCCCCTCAGAACTCATCTGCGCGTGCCTCTCCTCCTCCTCCCTCTTCCCCACCACCTTCCTCCTCTCTCCCTCTCTCTCCTCTCCTTCCTTTTTTAACTTTTGTCTTTTTTGGGACACTCGAGTCTCACTATGTAGACCAGGCTGGCCTAGTCATCACTGGGGGCCTGTCCTTGAACCTGTTGGGGTCCTCTTTCTTAGGCAGGTGGCATGTCACCATGCCTGACCTGTGTCCTTTTCCTACACAACTCTGTTATGATGTGGGTACTTCTCTTTTTAGCCTTCCATTTCAGGTTGGTAGATCGGCAGGTGGAGGTAGCCTAGGCTACTGAGCGGGCAGTAGTGAGGAGCAATGGGCTCCTGACTCCTCTCTGGGTAGTGAGAGACACAGAAGCCAGTTCTGGGGACTTACCTGAGGCTAGACCATTGGGCTGGAATGGATTGGTAGAAGGCAGCTGGGGTTGGGCAGGGGTAGCGAAGGGGTTGGTGAAGGCTGCTCACGGGAGGAAGAGAAGTTGGAGAAAAAAGATGGTCTGAGTCCCCTCAATCTTGGGGTGCCTCCCCCACCGCCCCCACGGGTCGGACTCACCTCCAAAGGCGAGCCCCGCATTGCTGCTAGCTCCTGGCACAGCCGACTGCAGTGCGGGTACCTGGCTGGGCATCGCGAAAACACTGTGGCACAGGGAAAGAGATAGGAATGGCATCTTCCAGGAAGGGCAGAGCAAGAGGGCAAAGGCAAGCTTGCTGTGTTCGTTACCCAAGGTTAGCCCAAGAAGCCAAGGGAGACAAGAGAGTCACAAGGCGCTGTCAGCTGGGGAAAACGCCAGCAACCTTCAGGCTACTGACATCCTCGCCAGGACCCACCTGCCAGGGAGACCTCCAGCAGGCATCCTGGGTCCCAGGAGGCCACCCACGTCCGAAAGGCCGCCGGGCTGACTGGCAAGAGGTGCGATGCCAAACACGGACACCTGGCTGCCCCCTGGACGAGATAAAGCCGGGAGGGGGGGTTGAGACTTGGGGGGAAGGGGAGGCGGATGGGCGCGCAAGGTGGAGGAGTGGAATGGTGACAGGCCAGGCTCCTCCTGGACTCAGCCGCTGATTCCCCATGAGGGGAGGCTCCCGAAGACTCTGGGTAAGGCGACAAGGCCTCATCTTGCCTTCTGCCTTCACGCTGTAGTCTGATGTGTGCATCCTACACGGACTCCTGTCTCTTCAGCAGAGGTGGCATTCCTCTTTCCGTCCGTCTTTACTTGAGGCAGGCTCTCAGCATGCAGCCCAGGCTGGCTTTGAACCCTGCTCTGTCCTCTTACCTCAACCTCCCAGGTGTGGGATTTCAGTTATGCCTGGAATCCGGCTAGGGCCAATGTAGTGCTCTGTGGACACTGTACGAGGAAGCTACGTTCCTAGCTTTTTGTTGTTTTATTTGAGACAGGGTTTCTCTGTGTAGCCTTGGCTGTCCTGGTAGATGGCCTTGAACACACCTGGGATTACTGGCTGCTCCTAATTAGTCAGGCACGGTGGCACTTTAACCCCAGCACAGGCAGGGGCAGGAGGATCTCTGAGTTCGAGGCCAGCCTGGTCTACAAGTGAGTTCCGGGACAGCAAGGGCTACACAGAGAGACCCTGTCTCAAAAGAAACTCATTTATTAATTGTGCTAAGAGTTGACTCCAGGCTCAGCACGGGGGCCATCACACAGTCTCCTCCTTTCTCCCCCTCTGCCCAGTGCTGCTGGGTAGGGAACCCAGGAACTCGTGCGCACTAGGCTAGGCCTCTGCCACGAGCCACTCCTGCTCGCTTGCTTCTGGCTTCTTCCAGTGCCCCAACGCTGCAGTCTGTGCTTTCTACATAGGCTCAGGCCGGTAGGCCTTCGCAGCTAGTGCCTCTGCCATGAACTACCATGACGGCCGCCGTCCACGCTTCCGGCCACAGGGTGCACGGCGTGTGGATGCGGGCCGTGCCCTCTGCCTGCCTACGAGAACTCGGGCTCCAGAGCTGATGCAGGCTGTGGGTCCCCACGCCCCGGCTTCTTCCTATCTGGACCGCTGGCCGGGCTCACACTTCTGCAGTGCTTCCCTGCCGGCACTAGAGGGCAGAGCCAAGCTTGAACTGAGGTCACCCACAGGGCGGCAGTTTAGTGTTTACTTATCAGTTCTTTGCAGAGGGGTGTGCGGGGAGGCCAGGGGATTTGCTACAGCGGTTCTCTTGTTCCACCACGTGGGTTCCAGGGGTCAAACACAGGGCATCAGTCTTGGCAGCACAAGGCCTTGCCCACTGATCCTCTCGCTGGCTCCAGGAAGCTGCGGCTCCCCGGACACTCCTCCCTCACACAACCTGGCCAAGGGTTAATGGCCGCTCAGAACCTCTCAGGTCTATGGAGCGTGTCTCCCTGCGTGTTCGGGGGCAGAATGCCGTGCCTCGAGAGCGCTGGGCAGGCACTCCACCACCGAGCGACACGCTCGCCGAGCAGCCAAGTGCACGGTGGACAACACCCCCCACTGTGGGGAATAAGGTTAGGATGCGGCCTGTCGATCCAGACCCAGGGCCTCAGGAAGGCAGTGAGGCTTTTCTCAGGATAGACACCAGCTCTACCTGGGGTGAAACCCATCTGGCTACAGGCAGGCATCCCTCGGCTCTTCCCCACGGTGTCTTTCCAGACAGCGTCTCACGAGGTGGAGGCTGGCCTCAAAGCCCCCATGTAACTGATGACCTGAAGCTCCTGACCCCGCTGCCTTCCCTAACCTGAGCGGCAGGATGCCAGGCTTGGCCTCCTGTGCCTGATTTACGTAGTGATAAGGACCAAACCCTGAGATCTGGGCAGCCTAGGCAAGCGACTAACTACAAATAAATACTAAAATATTAAAAACTGGCATTAACTCAGTGGCAGGCTCTTTGATCACCTCCCCCTGGGGGGCTGCAGCCTTGCCAGGCCACAGAGGAAGATGATGCAGCCAGTCCTGATGAGACCTGATAGGCCGGGGTCAGAGGACCTTCCCTATCAGTGGACTGGGGGAGGGGCATGGGGGAAGAGGGAGGAAGGGTAGGACCGGGAGGAGACGAGGGAGGGGGCCACAGCTGGGAAACAAAGTGAATAAACTGTAATAAATGATACTAATAAAAAAAGGTCAGATGAAGAAAAAAATTAAAAACCTTCGAAGTAAAAAATGTTTACTTCTATGAGCACTTTGCTTGCACAAATATGTGTGTACCGTGTATGTGCCTGGTATGCACACAGGCCAGAAGAGGGGAGGGCGTCAGATCCCCTAGAGCTGTAGTTGCGGACGGCTGTGAGCCACCATGTGGGCTCCAGGAATTGAACCTGGGTCCTCGAGAAGAGAAGCTGGCGCCCTTAGCCACTGCTGCACCTCTCGCGGCAAACAGGCGGAATCACTATTTGTTGGAATTTTAGAAGTTTGTGTCCTAGTTCGTATCAACATGAAGTCATCATGTCTGGAGGAAAATACATTCTGGGGTTGTAGGGCTTGGCTCCGCGGTTAGCACAGCGCCTGCTGTTGCTGCAGAGGGCCTGGCTTGGTCCCAGCACCCACGCGGTGGTTCGCAGGCACAGGGCTCCAGCTGCAGGGTGTCAGTGACATGTTCCGGTCTGCACACGTGGGCACATGTGTTTGCAGGCCCCAACCCCCCCCACATGTAAAAATAACCAGTTCCTCAGGTCAGCCTCAGCGGCTCCCTCGGTCTCAGGAGGGAGGAGAATGCAGGCTCTCACTCAGCTGGCCTCTGAAATTCTCACCGTGCTGGGCAGGGCACCGTGGCGCAAGCCTGTGTCCCCAGCGCTCAGGAGGCAGAGGCAGGCGGATCACTGAGTTCAAGGCCAGCCCGATCTACACAATGAGTCCAGGACAGCCAGGGCTACACAGAGAAACCCTGTCTGAAAACAAGAAAGAAAAAAAAAACACTAAAAAAATTCTCAGGTGTCTCTCTATGTCAGTGCTTTGTCAGGCTCACACCTTTAAGCACACGTTCGCAGGACTTCTGTATGGACTTTATCGTAAGTGCTGCTTTTACAGTTCTGCTTACTATCGTATACCCGAGTGCAAGGGCCCGGTGGGGCTCAGAGGACCATTTTCCTCAGCTGGTTCTTTTCTTCCACTGGGTGAGTTTCGGGCTTGGAGTGATAGTGAGGATTGGCAGCAAAATAGGCCACCATGTCAACCTAGATTTTAACTTTTATTGTTAGAAAATAGTGAAGGCTTGAGGGCTGAGAGACTTTAAGACCACTGTGTGCAACTTGGCGAGACCCTGTTCCGAGCTAAGCATGGTGAGGGATACAGCTCAGTAGTAAAGCACTTGCCTAGACTCCTCGTGAGTAACTTGGAGCATGACTAGCAGTAGAGCCCCAGCCTAGAATCCCCCAGTGAGGGGCTGGGTGTGGCTCAGTGGTCACCTGCCTAGAGTCCCCAGTGAGGAGTGGGGGTGGCTCAGTGGTCACCTGCCTAGAGTTCCCCAGTGAGGAGTGGGGGTGGCCCAGTGGTGGAGTCATTACCTGAGGCTGATGTTTACTTCCCAGTACCACAGAATCAGTCAATCAATAAAAACCAAAACAACCCTGCAGTTCTCAGGAGCACAGCGGGAAGCTATGGGTAGAGTCAGAAAATCTTAGTTCTGCCATTCTGTGTTGCACAATTAGATAATTTGGTATACAATCCTGTATTTTTTTTTTTTTTTTTTAATTCTGGTGATGGAATCCAGACTCATTTCTTCTAATCACAGACTTTACTATGTGAATCACACCCTGGTTCCATTTTATTTTACCGGGTCTCACTATGTAGCCCTCATTGGCCTGGTACCCACACTGTAGACCAGGCTGGCCTCGAACTCACACCCAAGTGCTAGAATTAGAGGCGTGCGCCACCATGCCCAGCTACATTTTACGGACTTCAGAGGACCCTGAGTAGGCTGAAGGCTGCAAAGAAGGACTCACCGAAGCTGTAACTTCCAGTTAGCATCCGATTGGCTGCCCACGAGGGTGGAGAAGAGAAGGGGAGGGCAGAGGAAGGGAAAGAGTATGAGTCACTGGCTTGTCCCTAGAAATCTGGTCTCTCCAGCCCTTCAGCTGCCAACTCCTGCTGCCCAGAACAACCAACACAAGAGAGGCAGGGCTGTGCAGACTGATGTCTGGGGGCTTCGGAAAGACCCGAAGGCTTAAAAGGGACCTCAGAGTGGAAAAAACAACACCCAGTTTTAAAGACCTTTGATCTTGAAGGGTGGGTACAGACGCCTGGGGAGTACCTTGAACTTGACCTGGCCACTTGACCCTTTGGGGCAGGATATTACAGACAATAAGAACAGGATGCACACATTTTTATAGACGAGGCCTCCAGCATTTTCAGTCAGAATTTTCTGTGTGGGTCGGAGAAGCAGTGGCTTAGTGGGTACAAGCCTGAAGACCTGAGCTCAATCCCCAGGACCCACAGTGCAAGGGCCCACTCATGAGAGCGGCCTTCCGACCTCTGCGTGACAGTCATGGCCGCCCAGGCCTGCCAGAGATGTGTAATTACAGAAAATGAAAGATTTTTAAAAACAGAAAATTGTCCTGGGGTAGACTCCATGCCGATATTCTAGCAATTTTCCTCATGTGAAAACTGGCTCACAGTGGCCCCTGTCCGGGCCCGGCAGGCCCCACACCGGTCACCCTTCAGGAGGAGTGGTTTGCTATGCCTCCGTTACCGTCACTCAGTGGGGATGTGGAGGAAGGAGGGTGATGTACGGACAGCTGATGAAGAGAGGCTGGGAACAGGGAAGGCAGTTTACCTGCAGGCGCTGGCTGGGCCTGGAACGGGGCCTGGGCCGATGCAGGGAGGCTTCCGAAGGCAGCAGAGCCAGGGCTGCTGCTGAAGGCATCAAAGTTGGCGAAGCCGCCATGGGAAGGAGCCTGGGCCCCTGCGGAGGGAATACGTGAAGGAAATGCACGTCAGCCAGATGTCTCGGCTTTCTTTCGCCCACGTGACCCAGGCTAACATCATTCATCCAGGGGAACCGCAACTGACAAAGCACTACAGAAGACATGGTAGTGCACGCTTTAGTCCCAGCACGAGGAGGCAGCGGCGGGCAGCTCGCTGCGAGTTCAAGGCCAGCCTGGTATATATAGTGAGTCCCATCCAGCCAAGGCTGTTTGAGAGAGAGACGGAGGGAGGGAGGGAGGGAGGGACAGAGAGCGTGCTCCTCCCCTCTCTTTTTAGGCAAGCCCCTTGGAGCACTCTCTTGGCTGATATGGGAGGCCTAGCACAAGAACGGCAGTGCCATCCCTGAGCACTGGGTTCAGGATGGTCCAGGGCTGTAAGTTCCAGGCCAGCCAGAGCGTCACCATGAGACCTTGTCTCAAAAACTGAAACCAAGACAAGACAGCAGGCTGAGCTAGCCATGAGGAACGGTCTGCACGCAGCGTTCCTCCGTGGTCGGCTTCAGTTCCTGACTTCTTTCAAGGGGCCTGTGAACCAGGATATAGAAGCCAATTTAACCGCCCCCCAACTGGCTCTGCTGACTGTTCTATCCACCAACAGAAAGCTAACTGAGCCAAGTGGGATGGTTCACACAGTGTCCCCGGGAGGCTGGAGTGAGATCATGAGTTTGAGACCAGCCTGCACTACACAGCTGCGTGGCCCTGTCTCCAAGACAGACAGACCCCCCTCCCCCCGAAGGCAGTTTTGTCCCCAGAACCCATGTCATGTGCTCATATCACCGGCAGGGGAGACGAGCGTTACTCCTCTGACACTGGCCAGCCAGCCTGGCATACGTGGCAAGTTCCTCGCCAGCTAGAAACTGGTTTTTGTTTGTTTTAATTAAAAAGGTCGGCGCTGAAGAGCGCTGGTTCTCAAAGAGGACCGTGGTCCGATGGCCAGCGTTTGTGCGGTGGCTCACGGCTATCTGGACCTTCAGTTTCCGGGGATACAAAACCCTCTTCTGCCCTCTCTGGGCACCAGGCTTGCACGTGGTACACAGACATACATAACACATAAAACATTCAAACACATAAAGCAAGTGAATCTAAAGAAAAACAGTACAAAGAAAAACAACGTGGCTGGTGCCCAAGGAGTAAAGGTGGGGATGGCTCCTTGGCTCTTTAATGGTCTTAGCCTCCCGAGTATGGGGCTCACAGGCAGGCAGTGCCAGGCTGGCTTCGCAGGGACAATCCAATGAGCTCTGGGACTGGGAAGGGCTGCCGGGAGCCCACTGCCACCCTGCATGGCTCAGCTCCCAAATACAAGCCACGCTGTTCCTTGACCGGCTGTGGCGGCCACAGAGGTCAGGCGCCTCTGCAGCACTGAACTCGGGGTGGGCAGGCTCCCAGGCCAGGGCGCTTACCTCCGAAGCCTGGGAAGGCGGTGAAGGCTGGCGCGGCCGGCGGGGCAGCAAACGGGTCTCCGCCGATGTCGGCCAGCAGGTCAGTGCTGGCTTTCTTGGCAGCGGAGTGGGAGGGCGGCTGGGAGCTCCGGGCCTGGGCTGTGTGGGCCGGAGGCTGGCTGACGGGCTTGGAGAGAATGGTGGCGACACTTAGCACCCCATGCGTGACCCTGGTCCCCGGGGGCCTCCGAGGCTGCCCCAGCAGTTAAACGGAGAGGCAAAGTAAGCTGTCTTCAGCGGAGAGGGCTCCCGAGCACAGGCCGCCTGGCGCAGGCCCAGGAAGCACACAGAGCGAACCTGAGATGTCCGCGCTGTGCCCACGGAGCCCAGCGGCTACTCTCTGCGGCTTGCTCTTTTTTTTTCCTTTCTGAGATAGGGTGTCTCTGTGTAGCCCTGGTTGTCCTGGTCTCACTCTGTAGCCGAGGCTGGCCTTGAACTCACAGAGATCCACTTGCCTCTGCCTCCCGAGGCCAGTGCCATCACCAGCTCAACTCTACTAGTGGAAGCGCTGTCCTGGCTCCTTAGAGGGGAGGGTCAAGACTGGGGTCATTACTCCGACCTCCCAAAGGACGGCTTTTCACTAAGGCCCAGGGTGTCCAGTCTGCGGGAGGCACACACGGCTGAGAAGCATCTGCCCGCTTGTAAATGCGGGGACCTGACATAGGACGCCGGCCCTGTTCCACACACCCCAGATCTTGGCGGAAACGTGGGGACCAGGTCCCAGGCTCACCTGGGCAGCATCAGTGGGAGGTTCTCCCAGAAGCGAGCGCATGGGCTTCCCTTCCGGGGCGGAGCCCTGGGCGGGGGTAGAGACTCCGCCTTTGCTGTAGGCTGGCCCCTTGACTTGCTCTGGGGGGACATACCTAGAAGAAAGAACAGTTATGCTGGGAAAACACAAGCTAAGGGCCAGTGTTCTTGCTTCTTTACCAGTTCCCTTGCCGGAGTAAAAAGAATTTAGTGAGCTGGGCAGTGGTGGCGCATGCCTTGAGTTCCAGCGCTTGGGAGGCAGAGGCAGGTGGATTGCTGTGAGCTCGAGGACAGCCAGGGCTACACAGAGAAACCCTGTCCACATCCCCAACCCCTCACTGCAGAGTTAATAACTCATAACAAGTTCCTCGTGTCAATTTCTTATTTCATTGTTTTGAGACAGGCTCTCATGTAGCCCAGGTTTGCCCAGAACTCACTCAAGGGCAGCCAAGGATAACCCCGAATTGTTCTTCATTCCTTCCTTCTTTCCTGCCTTTCTTTTTTTTGTTTCTTGTGTAGCCCTGGCTGTCCTGGACTGGCTATGTAGACCTGCCTGCCCCTGCCTCCCGCAGGCCTCCCGAATGCTGGGATTACAGGCATGAACTGATATGCTCAGTTTCAATTTGTTACTTTGAAGTCAGAATCTAGCACCAATTGAATGTGGGAGCCAGGGTGAGGAAAAGATTCCCTCGAAGCCTCGTCTTAGAGAAATGCCAACAATGCTTTGCAAATGGGATTTCTGGACAGAGAGCCTCGGACATGTGTCTCTTTCTTGCTCCTTACCATCTTTTTTTCTCATATTTTTCTTGGAGAAACTCCTTCACCTTCTGAGGGTCCCTGGAATCTGGCATCAAGGACGTCCGAGCATCAAAAAGGCCCATCCAGATCTTCCGGCAGACCTGAAGGGGCAGAGCCGGGGAGCACGCTGAGCGTGAATGGCGCTGTCAGCGTGCCTCTCCTTAAAGACCAGAGAGAGTCTGCTATGCCCGGACAGTGTGTGCGTGGGCGGTCCACACGCACCTGCACGTCACACACAATCCCTGCCCCACAGCGTATAGTCGACCAGGTCAGGCCTTATAAATACACAGTATGCTAAAAATATGAAGAGATTTGTCCCCACCCCCCAAAAAAGTATCGGGGGCCACAAGATGACCTGAGCTGGATCCCTAGGACCCAGGTGGTCAAAGACATGCTCATACTCTCTCTCTCTCAAATAGATAGATAGATAGATAGGTAGGTAGGTAGATAGATTGGGTTTTTCAATCATCATGACGCAAGCTTTGCCAGCAAGTGGCACAGACTGAGCCGGATACTTTCTCCCTTGGCGGCTGCTCACCTCGTTTCCACGAGATTGGAGGAACAGAACTTCAGGCTCAGTGAAAGTTGTCATGGAGATGGACTTGACTCGATGAGGGGGGTTCAGGCCTCTCCTGCAGGGCAGAGACAGAGGTGAGCTGTCGAAGCTGCACATGTGCAGTGAGTGAGGAGAAAGAAAACAGCAACACATGAGGCGGTCTGAGTTAGGACCCAGGGCTGGGGTGTGGCTCAGTGGTCACCTGCCTAGAATCCCCCAGTGAGGGGGTGGGTGTGGCTCAGTGGTAGAGCCCCTGCCTAGAATCCCCCAGTGAGGGGCTGGGGTGTGGGTCAGTGGTAGAGCCCCTGCCTAGAGTCCCCCAGTGAGGGGCTGGGGTCTGGCTCAGTGGTAGAGCACCTGCCTAGAATCCCCCAGTGAGGGGCTGGGGTGTGGCTCAGTGGTAGAGCACCTGCCTAGAATCCCCCAGTGAGGGGCTAGGGTGTGGCTCAGTGGTAGAGCACCTGCCTAGAATCCCCCAGTGAGGGGCTGGGGTGTGGCTCAGTGGTTGAGCACCTGCCTAGAATCCCCCAGTGAGGGGCTGGGGTGTAGCTCAGTGGTCACCTGCCTAGAATTCCCCAGTGAGGGGCTGGGTGTGGTTTATCAGTTGGAAATTGGTTGGCTTAGCACACAAAAGACCCTGATTTCTATCCCCAATACTGGAAACAAAACAAAACAAAACAAAGAAACAAAACACCACCACCACCAGGAAAGGTCTGCTAAGGTCCAGCAAGATGGTTTAGGGGCTTGCCATAGTTTGCTCTGATCTGAAGACCTGAAACCTACAGGACAGAAGGGGAGAAATGATCCCTGCCTGCAAATTCTTGTTTGACCTCCATGTGGACTACACCACTTGTGCCCCATATATTAAATAAATGCAATAAAGTTTAAAAAATCCCTACTAAAAGCCAATTCATAGTATCAGGAAAAATGTAAATGAGTATATTCTGGAGACCTCAAGTGAGAGACAAACAGGCTGTGATCCTGCCGATGATTTCAGAGGAGGCAGAGGCTGTCGCCCAGACACCTCCTCTAGGCTGCCTCAGATCCTGTCCAGTGCCCGCCCGCAGGCGAGGGTGACCTCTGGAAGCTGCCACACACAGCCACGTCCCAATTCCTACTGTTATTCTAGATCTGTGGAGGCGCATCGGCAGGCATGAGGCACGGCAGAACGGGGACCCTTGACCAACACTGATGACAAGAGCTAGGCTGTGCGGGGCAGAGTCGGCATCCGGCATCCGGCTGCCTCCATCCCATAACGGAGGGGTGGAGCTGTGAGTGGGAACCGAGAGCAACCCTCCTTCAGGAAGCCATATCCGGAAAAAGAAACATCCCAGGCACTCTCCTTCCGAGATCTTGTGATACAGCAGGAAGCGAGAGGAAAGAAGTTCCGCCAGGAGACGGAATTGCACGTGCTCAGCCATGCTGTTGTGCTTGCTCCGTTAACTCCCTGGAGAGCCAGGTCTGCCCAGACACCTGTCCTTCTAGGGAGGGGTGGTGCGAATGGGAAACCAGAGGCTCAGCTAGTTGGGGGCTTCGTGGGTTCCCTCTCCTAAATTAAATGTATTCATACGTGCTCACTGTGGGCACACTGCAGTGGTGTGGAAGTCAGAGTACAACCTTCCGAGCTCAGTGTCCCCTTCCACCATGCGTCGTCGGTCTCAGTGGCAAATGCCTTCCCCACCGAACCATCTCCCCAGCCCCCAGGGACGCCTGCTTTATATTTTACATTTCATTCTGGTCTATAGACCTATTGCCCTCATCTTAAAACAAAACCAGCCAAGCCAAAACAAACAAATTGGGCCAGGATCTGGGAAACCACAGGTTCACGCAGACTCTGATACCGAGGCCTCTCTGGCTCTGGGTAGGGGCTAGGTCGAATGTTTGTATGAGCCCTGGGGTTGGTCCCCAACACCGCGTAAACCAAGTCTGGTGCTAGATACTTGCAATCACAGCTCTGGGGATGTGGAAGAGGCTATCCTTGGCTATAGAGCCAAGTTCAAGGACAGCCAGAAACATGAGATCCTGTCTCGGAAGAACAAACGAATAAAAATATGGAGCTGGGGGATGCTCAGTGGTTTAGAACATTGGTTGCTCCTGCAGAGGGCCTGGGCTGGATTCTTAGCAACCACATGGTGGGTCACAACCATCTCCAGTTCCAGGGGGTCCAGTGCCCCTTCTGGCCTCAGGTAGCACTAGGCTCACAGGGTACATACATATGGAGGCAGAATACCCTCACATGTAAGATAATAAAATGTTTAAGTGAGAAGGACACACTCACATTCACCGGTGCACACACAGCACAAAGGGACCCCTGCCACGCCTGGAAGGACGGCAGAGGCTGTGCTGGCATAAGTGAGGCAGAGAGTGGAGAAGGGGAAGACGCCCAGACACAGAGCAAGCTGTGGCGGCTCCTGGTGATAAACTGCTCATTATGGGATCTTGGCGAAGGCTGGGGCCCAGGAGGTACAGATGAGGTCATTTCCAGCCTTTCTGCCACTGGACTTTTGAGTAAGGACTCTCCAAATGCCCTTACAAAATGACAAGCAGTGCCTAAGAGGATGACGTCTAAGGGAAGATGAGAGGGAAGCAGACAGCAAACAACAGCTCTTAAAAAGGATCTGTCCGAGTCCGCTGGGATTGGGTTTCCCCAGGAATCTGGTTTTTCTCTGAGAGACTGATTGCTCACTGAAGACTTGATTTGGTTTGGTTTTAAATTTTGAGCCAGCCTGCTTCCTCCCCTTGTTCTGGAGACAGGGTCTCATAGAGTCCAGGTTGGCCTTGAACTTGCTACGTGGTTGAGGGTGACCTTGAACTCCCAACCCCCTGCCTCCACTTCCCAAGCACTGGGATTCTAAGTGTTGGAGACCCTGTCCCTTTGTCCACAGTGCTGAGAGTTCAACGCTTACCAACGGAGCTATAACCCAGCCACTGTAGTGTCTGAGGAATGACACTCTAGGTCATTCCTCAGACACTGGCAACAGAAGCACGCGCGCGCGCGCGCACACACACACACACACACACACACACAGAGGGCGGGGACTCAGGCCTTCTCATTGCAGTGATGCCATCCAGCCAGGCACTTGATGGATTAGGGAGAATGATTCAGGATGTTAGCAGTGGGGAAGGAAGAGAGCTGGCCAGGTCATGGGAACGGTGAAATGTATTATGTTTACATTAGAAAAACAGCTTCTGAACCGATCACAGGGAGGCCACTGACATTTCCTGAAAGGACAACCAGGAAGTGTTAGCAATTGTAAACACAGCGGCCTTCCTCATTAAGGGGGAGGGCGGGGAGGGAGGAGGCGAGGGAGTGGGCTGCGCACAGCAGCTCTTCTGCCTGAGCAGGGAACCGGAGGGGCGCTGTGGGAGGGGAGGGTGAAGGCCAAGCCGGATGGAAAACCACAGGCCCCTTGAGTGCCTGTGAAGGGAACAGGGTGTCTCTGAGATACAGGAGAGAGAGCACACAGCTCTGACCTTGGTGTTGGGCTGGACTGTGAACAGCCACAGCCAGTGGGGGGCGGGGCACGGAGGCCTGCCGAGAGGAGAGGAGGCTGCGGCGGGAAGGGGGCCTGGGTGCAGGGCCCACGAGTCAGGCGACGCCTCTGTGAATCATGCGGAGGCTGAGCACACAGACACACAACCTCCCCTGCCAGCCGGCTGAGAGAATGGCCTAGGTGTTTTGCACTTAGCTGGGTCCAGTCCAGGGTCATGTGAGTTCCACGGTCACGTGATGGGCCAGATGTGACTCACTAGGCCGGAATGAAACGGACCCAACCCTCTGGCTTGCACCCAGTGTCCCCAACAAAACTCAGACTCTCCCCACACCCCTAAATGAGGAGGCACTGCCCATGCCAGGCAGACTCTAAGAGATGGAATTTACTTGCCCAGCCTGAACAGGGCAGTGGCTCTGAACTAAACAGTCAATGTGTGTGGTGTGTGCACAGGCGCGCCAGTAGGGAGGCTGGAGAAAGGCATTACCGGTCTGCCCATCACTTCCCACCTTATTCCCCTGAGGCTGAACCTGGGGCTAGGCTGGCAGCCAGCAAACCCCAGCAATCCCCCTGCCTCCACCTCTCACATCAGTTACGTGTACTGTCTAGCTTTTAGCACTCGTACTGGGGATCCGAGCTTAGAGCTCTTACCCATAGGGCGACTCTGCAGCCCCAGGAGGAAACAAGAGAAAGCAAACTGATTGTTATGGCTTAAGCCTTTAAGCCGGTGTTACCTGTACTCGTTCCTCTCCCTCCCTATTCTTTCTGAAACAGGTAGCCTAGGCTGGACCTTGAGCTTGCTCTACAGCCGAGGATGGCAGTGGACTCTCGATTCTCCTGCCTCCACCTCCCCAATGCTGGGATTATACGCATGCACCACCAAGCCCAATTTATGAGATACTGGTGACCAATCTCTGCAGGCTAGACAAGTACTGTACCAGAAGCCCCCCCCCCCCCCCAGCGCGCTCCCTCCCTCCTCTCCTCCTCCTCCCTCCCCCAGGCTCCTAACAGCAGGAAACCCTCTGCAGCCCTCTCTCTGCACAGGCAACTTCTTGCATGTACAAGCAGTCTCCCTGGTCTCTCCCCTCCTCCCCTTTGACTTCATTAAACACACCTTGCCACACCTCATCACTCTCACACTGGCCTACATTTTTGTTTCTGTCTCAATCCGTGGAAGCACCAACCCCGCTGAGGCTGAGATAAGAAGGTTCCGTCAGTGGAAAAGGCCGACAGTGGAAAACAGCAGTTCACCGGGCTTCT